CCTTGGGAAGTTTCCATCCGCTGCCATCAGCATGACTAGTCTCATGTCGAGTGATTGTTCATCAACGTTGTCAGGGCCGCCTCTGTTTTCTCGTGCTCATGTAAGCCAACCGTTATGGAGCCGCCCTGGCAAAGCAGAGCCTGCTCACCGTGTCGACCCAGCGTTAGCTTGACGGCTGGTGGGCAGGCTCCAAGCTGAGACTCTGCCATCAGTCAGGTTTTACTACCGTATCCTCCACCCAGCCGCTGGTCTCTTGAAAATCACCCCTGACGAGGGCAGGGGGTGGTAGGCTGCCAACAACTGCCAAGCTTTAGGTGCCTCCCTTGGGGCTCTACGAGGTGCTCATCTTGGCGAAAAGAACGGGGTCCTCCAGCTGTCACTAACAGCAGAGGTTGAAAGAATGCTTGGCTGGTCTCTGCGAGTCGATGTAAACTCCCATCAGCATAACTGATGGCAAAACTAGGGAAACGCTAAATATCACAAGTTAGGCGGGAGATCTGACTAGATATCTCTACGAACCCTCTTCCAACCACTCAATGGCCTGCAATCTCAAATCCATGAATGTCCAGGTACCAACCTACGTAACCACAGGCAATGATCCCTCCACCGCGGCGTCAGAATCCGTCGTGTCCCGGGATTCAGATCTGTGCCTGCTTGGCATCCAACTTGGATAGATTTCGCTCAGTTGTCATTCGAGGACCTGGTTGTAGAGTACTGCAACTCTACGGTCTCGGCCCGCTGCCGTCCAGTTCAGTTCTTACATATTCCGCTGAAAACGGCAAGGGGATAGGTTCGCCAACATAACTCTACGGGCATGCTTGAACCAAAGATGATCTCCGCCCGCCTCGTCCGGCCAGAGATGGATGCGACGATCCAACCCGGTCAGCCCCACGCCGATATGAACATTACCCCTCGTCTCGTCTGGCTCGCGGCCGGCCATCTCCTTTTTTGTTTGTTTTCTTGTTTCTTCGCTTCCCCTTCTTTTCACGAGCATCTTGTCGTCCAATTCAGAAAATCTCATTAAATTGTCCGAGGCGCAGTCGGTCCCGGCGCCCTCGGGCCCGGGGTCCTGGTGGCCTTCCTATACCGGATAGAAGCAACTGCATTATCTTCCGTGCATCCCGTAATGGCCGTCAATGGATGTCGTGTCGGACACAGCAGCGGCCAGCGAAGTCTCACGTCCGCATTGTCGGACTCTCGGGTCTTAATTACGAGCGAGAGAAGCGCCATGATTTTTTTCGGACGACAGCACCAACGTCAATGGCCCGAGGCCTTACCCACTGCTGCACAGCACACCCATTCGGCGGAGTCGCCGTGGCTGGTTTCTCCACTTGACTCTTGCTCACCTATCGACGTTTCATCATCCCACGACACACACGAGTTGTTGCTCGGAAAGTCAAAGACCAAGAAGGTTATGCTAGCAGCCTTGCAGGAATCATGACCACCTCCATAACTGCACGCTATTCCCGTGACAGAACCCTCTGTGTTGGGTGGCATTGCGCCCACCAGTGCCACGATACTCACCACCACGGTGCAGATGCAGTACATACCACGTACAAGGAACAACACCAAGCGACCCAGTTATTCCCCTGTTCTGAAGCTCTAGCTCAGCACCGCTCAGGAGCCAGAGTACCCTCTGCTCCTGTTTCGTAACGTACTTGTCGAGTTCCCGCAAGACCCTGGCTAGGGGTCGCCCTCCCCTTGGCGTCCATTGCAGGTCCAAATTTCCAGCGACATGGCCCGTCTCCGTCAGTGATCGCTTGCGAACCATACCGTCGAAAAAGCAATGCAACGCTACGCTACGTAATCTGCGAATTCTAGAATTCGGCCCCGGATTGGGCATCTGCGTCAATAGGTTCGGATTTGCCCCATACGCATGCTGGCGGCTTCATGGTTGGTTGTCGGTGAGCGTCGTATGGGATCGCTTCCCATTGGCATATGAGTGAGTGCTCAGCTTACTGTGCAGAGTGATTGAGTGAGCATCTGATACACCCGTAGCATCTATCAGTCACAGCCTCGTCAGATTGAACTTCAGATAAAGTGAGCCTTGAACACATCAAAGACACATCGATCGCGAGACCCTCTCTTCTCACTGTGGGTTTCGTATAAAGTTGCACCATCGATAATTACGAAGTGCAGAACCGTCGTCACGAGATGAAGCCAGGGGCCACAGCTGAACCCGCGCTGCTGCATGAGCATTTCTGGGGACAAAGACACATGCCAGACACGAGGATCCAAGCCTGATTCCGTCGCGCGAACAATGGTCGCATGCAATGTGATTTGTGCAGCAGTACCCAGTAGTACAGGCACGCAATGCGCTGGAATGAGCATCGAGCGACCGACTGACTGCAAGGTTCCATCGACGACGACGATCATTCCCAGGGCCCTCGGTGCAAGTGCAAGTGCAAGTGCAATTGCAGGCGCACAGCCCCCTTTTCCGGTAGTACACGAAACACGCAGGTGTTGATGATTGATTATGAGGCTTGATCCCATCCATGGATCCATGGGTTACGGAGCGCATCCGGCGCGTCGGTTCGTCACCGAACCCTACCTACACCACGAACCCTAGAAGTTAGCTGCCTGCTAGAGTTGGTCAGAGCTGAGGGCTAGTTACTACGTAGTGACCGACAATCTAGACGGGAGAGGCCCTTCTGGAAGTTCTGGGCTGGTCATGGCTCTATTATGGGAGAGATAGGGGGAGCATTAACGGGCTCTGTCTCACAGAGCCTTGGCGGCTAATTTTGTCGCGCCACAGAATGGGATGGGACTGCGCCTCACTTTGTGCATATTGTGCTGACAGCAGCCACCCGACGGCCATGCCCATGCCCACATGCGCCCCGCCAAATACGCGACCCTGTTTCCAATTAACGCGGTCCAACTACATCTCTCACCAGCCTGTGAACCTGCGATTGCTGTGACAAAGGATCCGAAGGCCTTCAAAGCCTCGTGCCATCAGTTGTTCAGTCATCAATCAACCTGCATTTGTCTCCCCGCAAGTGGCCCAACATGTCACAAAAGGCTAGAAATGGGAATATTATGAGTTTCTTCAAGCCTGTGACAAGGTCTCAAACACCCCAGAGACCCCAGGCTCCGAAGCCTCGTTCGCCATCTCCATTGCCGCCCTCATCCCCGCCAAGTCAAGTTGCTGTCACCCCTGTCAAGAAGAAGCAACCGCTGGCACGGGATATCGAGATCCGCGCCTCGGATGATGAGGATGACTTGGGGGCTTCGTCAGATGACTCCCTCGAAGACCTATGCGCCATCATAGGACGAGCACGCCCCGCCAAGTTGGCTGACTCTCCAACCAAGAACAACCCATATGCTACACCAAGAGCAAAGAGAACTGCCGTTGAGTTTCACTCATCGCCGCTGGCCATTATACCAAAACACAAATTTGATCTCAAGGCTCTGGCCAAGGATGCGAAGCAGGATGATGCTACACATGCAAGCTCAATAAGAGCCAAGGCTCTGACTGAGCTTGCTGATGCTGAAGATGAGATCATGACAGACGAGGCATCGCGGGACGTTTTGGAGGACATCGTCAAGAACAATACCGGACAAAACGCCCAGAAGGTCCTCAGAGCGGTGCAAAGATCAGAGCCTGGTCAGTCACAACTTCGATATTGCTTCTTCAGCGAGGATTACAGTCCACCCAGTCCGAAGGCAGCACCAAAGAATCTCAACAAGGGGCCTTGGAAACTATTGACGCAAGGTGATCAGCAAACTCGGGAGCAGCATTTACTGTCTGGCTTGCCGCTCACCCTCCTTGGCATGCATGGAGGTTTACCAGACGAGCTATTTGAGTGGATTCTCAGCGAATTCTGTCTTCAAAAGTCAAGCCTCGTCCGGAAGGAGTATACCAGCCTGATTAGCAACTGCGCCGAACAGATTGAGCGGCTAGTTACGCCACGGCGGTTGGAGGAGCTGTTCTATCGCTTCGGCGCCTCCCCTGAACTTGAGCAACGGGACTCTGAGTTGAGATTGTCGAAACCCGGCGTAGAACCCTATGAGGGACGTGACTGGTCCACGTTGAGTTCCTTCTTATCACTTCTAAGTGCCATGACTCCGTCTATGGCTCTGGAATCTGTCGTCTATGCTGCACAAGCTTTGCTACGGATGTCGATGGACAAGTTCCTCCTATACAACATTGATCTCCTAGTCGCATACGAGAACGCCATCAAGACTCTAGTCGAGGCAGTTCCTCAGGCGAACTGGGACGTCTTCGTAAGTCATATCACGGCATGCTTCGGATTGGTTATTGACGGATGAATTAGTGCTTTCACACATGTTCATTGCTGCACATTCTCATCAAGGCTCAATGTGTGAGAACAAATGCTCTGACATGTCTCCCAGTCAGTACACCCAAGGTCCACGATTTGAGACGTCGTCTTGCCGTGGTGTTTCTTTACGATGATCCAGACCTGGGTCGCCATCATCCGGATAACACGGTCAGCATCAGAGGCATCATCGACCGCCTTGAAGAAGATGACTTTTCCGTTGGGCCCAAGACGGATTTCGCCGAGTTGCAGGCAAACATCATCCTTCTCAACATTGCAGTTGACGACGGTTCATTTGCCGCGGCAGATGACCCAGACGCTGTGAAGGAGTTCAACAGCGAGATAGATGAACTCACAAACCAACTTAGAGGCATTTGGAGAAAGATCAACGATGCAGGCATGAAGCTCACCCGAACTGAAGCCAAGAGTGTCATTGAATGGGTTCAGCAACGACTTGCTCACTCTGTCCGGACGCGCCGAAAGGCCAAGAAGAGCGTGTTTGACCTGGAAGGTCAACGAGAGGACCCTTTCCTTCCACAACAACAGAACCTCATGAAGAACTTCCTACGGAAGCCAACAGAAAAGGTCCCAGCGCCCACCTCTCCTGTGGTTGATCAAGACACTATCGTTGTCAGGTCGAAATAGGGAGGGTGAAGCATGGACAACTCTCATTAGGCGCAGGCGCAAAGGATTCAAGGGAAAGGGGGTCAATATCACTCAAGACGAAGGATTCTGAACGTGTAATGAATTCTACCACGAGCCAAGTCCGGAACCAGACAAACAATAATGAAAAGATGATGCACAGCCTCTAAACTACAAAGCACAGACTGATTAACAAGGCAGGTCGCACATGATAGAGAGCCTCCCTGATCGTGCACTCATCTCGGCGGGCTTGATGTATAAGCAGGAGTAACCATGATTCAATGGCACCCAAGGGAGTTTAGTCAAAGAACTTGCGGTTAGGATTCTTTCCAAACAGGGCCTCTCGCACAGCGGGAGCGGCGGAATCCTCCAGAAGCCGCAACCGAGCCTCGAAGGTGTTGTCAATGTCGATCTTGCCGTCTCCGCTAATGATAACCACACCGCCGGCACTGTATAATAGTCAGTTCCTATGTCGCAGCTCGTGAGTCCAGGGGGACACGTACATTCCGTCAGCGAGGGGCTGGTCTTCCTGAAGCTTTACCGTGACGTCCTTGCCAAGCTGCTTCTTGAACTCCTTGGAAGCCTCATCAATGGCCTTCTTGACGACGTCATAGTCCTTCTTGCGCGCGCGGACCTGAAGCTCAGGCTCGTTGAGAGCATACAAGCCCTCAAGCACAAGACCCTTGAGGACCTTCTGGTACTTGCCCTTGTCCTTGACGCCCTCGGCGAGCTTCTTCTGAGCATCCTCGAATATGCTGTCGAGCAGCTCCTGGCGGGCGCCGAGGACCCTGAGCCGCGTCTTGTTGGAGACGGTGGAGCGGGTGATTTGCTGGGACATGGTGGCCTGCTTAAACTTCTTCTCGTATTGGACGTCGATGGCGTCGGTCTCCTGGCGGACGAGCTTGGACTTTTCGATCTCGAACTCCTCGTTGGCCTTGATCTCGATCTCGCGGGCCTTCTCCATGGCCTCCTGCTTGATGAAGGCCGTCATCTTGCGGAGCTCATTGTCGACCTGGGGTGAATCGGGCGCGCGTTAGCAGCCTGGTAAGACGGATGGGAGGATGATGACGATGGCTGCGTCGTTTGGGCAGCGTACCTGCTGGTCGGACAATGCGTGTTGCGACATGATGGCGGTTTAGGGGGGTGACTGAAGGATTTCGATGGAATCGAGGAGTTGACAAGGCGAGCAAAGCCTCAGCGCGTTCAGAAGAATAAGCAATGAGAGGCAGTCGATGGCCTTTTGTTAGGAGCGTCGGCGGGAGATGGAGGTTGAGGCTTGGGAGTGGAGTGCAAGCAAGCAAGCAGGTAGCTGTGACGCCAGCCGCCAGGACCAAGCCAAGCTGTTCGTCGCCTATGCCCATCTTACCCAACCTAAAGCTTGGGCAAGCCACACGTCTCCATGTTGCATTGTCCCACTGTTTCGTGCATATGGCCACTCATAGACTCCGATAAGACTCGCTATCGACTATTATGTAACTGCACCGCCACAGTGGCTGGCCGGTCTCGTGTTGGAGCTGCATGGCCTCACGTCAGGTGTCCCTCGACTTAAGTTCGACTCCGACTTTCTTGTTATTAGGTTTGAAACGGAGACAGATTGCATCGAATTATCGCTCCCTTGCGTTCCACAACATCGCTCTGTTTCCAATCCCTCCGCCTACAACTCCAGGTCTCAGCGCCAACCAGGAGACCGCACCCGGGTCGCGATCCAACCGCCGGTCCGCAAGGCTGCCGCTTCATCATTCCGGCGCTTCAACGAGCCATTCGCGTCTGTATCCGATTGAAACGAACCCATCCTACTCAATACAGGCAGCACAAGGCGACCATCGAATCGGGTACGCTTCCTATGCGACGCCTCAGCTACCCGCTTCGAGTCTCCGCTGCCAGATGACCTCGGACCTGGCAGAGGCGCAATGGGGTTGCTTGGCGGCATCTCATCTGGAGGGAGCATAGCTGTACGTTTGATGGTAGATGCGCTGGTTGGCTAAATGATTTGCTAATGCTTGCCCTCGCAGCTAGGAATTCTGGTCGGATTGCTATCGACAAGTGTTCAGAGCCTCGGCCTGACCTTGCAGCGCAAGTCGCATATACTCGAAGACGAAAAGGGACCTCTCGATGTCCGGCGACCGCCTTACAGGAGGAGGAGATGGCAGATCGGCATGGGCATGTTCATCGTGGCGAACCTCCTCGGAAGCACCGTTCAGATCTCGACTCTACCACTCCCCGTCCTCTCGACACTTCAGGCCGCGGGCCTCGTCTTCAACTCGATATGTGCGTCATTGATACTCAGCGAGCCCTTTACGCGATGGTCCCTGTCCGGGACGGTCCTCGTCACGACAGGCGCCGTGCTGATTGCCATTTTTGGAGCCATCCCTTCTCCAGCGCATGACCTAAAGGAGCTGTTGGAGCTCATGGCGCGCAAACCTTATGTGGTCTGGATGATTCTTCAGGCTCTATTTGTCGTTACCCTCGCGTTATCCATCGACGTGGTCAACAGCGTCTCGAACCTCTCCCACGACGCCCGGTTTCGACTAGCTCGTGGCATCACTTACGGCGTCATAAGCGGAGATCTCTCAGCCCATGCTCTGTTATTCGCCAAGTCCTCTGTCGAGCTAGTCATCAAGACGATCGCTGGACGCAACCAGTTTGTCCACTGGCAATCGTGGGCGATTGTTATGGCGCTCGTCACGTTGGCCCTGTGTCAACTCTATTACCTCCACCGAGGCCTTAAGCTGGTCTCTACCTCGGTTCTCTATCCCTTGGTTTTCTGCGTTTACAACATCGTTGCCATTCTAGACGGTTTGATATACTTTAACCAGACGAGCTTAATATCACCTCTAAGAGCCTGCCTCATCGCCTTGGGGACGGTTATCCTCCTGTCAGGCGTGCTCGCGTTGTCTTGGCGCCTGAGCGATGAGCAGCATACACCTGGAGTTGGTCAGTCATCTCTGGCGCCTGGCCTGGGTCTTGTGGAGGACACCGAAGGGGAGGAAGAGTCTCTCCTTGGCTCGGACAATGCAATTGCCGATGACACGACACCGCATACATATCAGACATTTCCGCCTGCGATTTGCGAGACCCCCTTAGTTCCTTCTCGCAAAAGAAGCTCACGGTGGGCTGAGCGCGCCGAGATATGGGATGAGCTGGAAGATCGCGATGAGCCTAGCACTCCTGGGAACAGGCGACGATCCAGCACACTTCCACAACATACCGAGTCTTCGCCATTGCTGCCGACAAGGAGGTCTATAGGTGGTGCTCCCGCTGGTGAAGAGTCTGGCCCCAGCACCGAGTCCACGCCTCGAAGACTGACTCGACGGCGACGGAAGAGCACAGGTTTCCCCGGCCTCGTCGCCCGGAGACACCAACGAAGTAGAAGTTCCACTGTGTCGGGCCCCCTAGGCAACCTCCTCTCGATGAGTTGGCTCAGGGGTAGAAGCAGGCAACCGTCACAGGCCAGCACCAGCGATAGCTACCCCTGGGGCACATCTCCACGAGAAGGCGGCGGTGGTGAGAATGGTAGAGGCGACTCAGCTGTATGAATAAAATGTGACGCATTTTGGGAGTTGCAAGAGAAAGAAAGAGGGTGAGCGAAAGGCGTTTTTTTTTTTTTTTTCTCTGTAGTTTCATTACATCTTTTTATTGGGCTAGTTCTTGTCGAGTGCGGCTACCGACCTTTTTTTCTTGGGTTGCAAGGTTTCTTCTTGTCCGCCGCGAAATAAATCTATAGGGTTTTTGGGATCAATCAAGGGCCGTTTGCCAGAGCACACGATGGGATTGATATTGTTCAGTCAGTTTCTATGCGATGCTGGTGGGGAGTCTGTATAAGAAGGTCCCGTGTAGTATGAAGGCCTGTAGGACAAGACATCTATTTAATAGAGCACAAGACAACGTACCCGGTAAGAAGGGTCTTTGTATGACTCGCTTCAAGGTATTGGGCACCTATATGAACGTAATATCTCGGAGGTTCTCATAAGAGATTATAGTCACAACAGAGCCTTAATATTGGTACGCCATAAGCGGCTGCCATTACCCTATTTTGTCTTTCCTGTGAGGCGAGCTTCAAGTATTGCGAGCAGTCTACAATCAAACCCACGTCCCACAGTTGGGAATCTCGAAGAGATCAAAAGATAAAGGTAAACAAACCCGAACTTGGACAAAGTATATATAGTCTTCAAGGCCCAACGAGTACAGCAATCGTCACAAATATCACCCAATCAGACCAAGGTTTGTTAATGTCAATCAATACACAGAAATTTTACATTGACTCTGTACTCTAGCCCATGCGAATCCGGTCCTCAAACACCGGGTACCGTCTAATGATATTAGGACCTTGTGCGCGAAAACAAACGAGGAAAACAAATGACAAAAACTCCCAAATTCCACCCTCCGCGCCCTGTACTCCGTCCGGCATTCCCTCAACTCCGCTGCCCCGGCATCCTTTCCGCCGGTGGTGATACCGTACAAAGTGCGTTTCAATTCCGAATGCCCGTCCCTTGGGAGTAGTGATGGTGTATAGTTTTGTGTGCCAGCCTCGACAAGAAGCGGCCAAGGTACTCAGAGGCCGTATCTACTGAGTTATTCCTCCCGCCTCAACTGACTGAATCTCCCTGTGGTAGTCATTCGTGGCGTTGTGTGTGGTACAGTGGTTCCTTGGTAGAATGAAAGATTCGACTACTCTACCTCGTCGTAAGAGGCAGAGCATCAGATGCATGGACATGGTCGATAGGCAGGTAATGAATGCCAGAGATAGGCAAGGCCGCGGGAAGAGGATCCGAAATGGTATAGACCTTCTAAATGCAAACTTGGTCTATGGAGTTCCTCCGTTCCGGTATACAAATATCAAAACATGGCCGGTGAACCGAATTTCCATTAGTGCGGGTGTAAATCAAGGCCGTAAACGATGCCAATGCTATGCAACGGTACTGACAAAACAGACAAAACTGTAGCTGAACTAGTCGTACCCAACAGCGGCGGTTCTTCTCCTCTTTTTCGGTTTGTTGAAGAGTTGTTGCAAGTGCCCCATGCCTGGAGTTGAGGCGAAGCCGCTGTGGTCCCGATATAATTATGTTCGCGTCTGGAAAGGGATGTGTATATACTTTGGCCCTGAGGTTTTTCCTTTTCTTTTGTATCAACCGGGACTCCTGGTTAGTCCGACTCCTAGACGCGACTTGTGCTGGCCCGGCTACGCTCATCTTCCTCTTCCATGACATCGCTCAGCCTCGTGGGGTGGTGATGTCGAGGAACTGTCTCCCAGCCGGGAGCTCCGTAACCTTGGCCAGAATAGTCCTGAGGATCCGAGTATGTGCCAGTCCATTGACCGCCGCCTGCAGAAGTTGAGGGAGACTCTTGTTTACCACTTGGTGGGTTGGTGGTGGCCGGCGTTTCATACTCTTCTGCGTCAGGATCAGAATCCGAATACGTCGAGGGTGGTGCAGCGAAAGGAATCTTGTTGCCTTGGGCATCCAAAATGAAGTTCCCATTGGCATCAATGACGTACTCACCTTCGCTGTAACCACCCTCTGACACCGGCGCTTGATAGCCACCGCTGCTACCTGGCGGGACGGGTTGGAGATATCCCTCGCCGCCGGCAGTCACAGGAGGCTGGCCTTGTGGAGATGCTGTCACCTCAGGCGGGTAGCCCTGTCCATATTCAGCCTGATAGGCGGCTTGACCGCGAGATCGGCTGGGACCTTGGGTCATGGGCACGACCTGGACGCCTCCCACAATGGTGGGCTGTCCTGACTGCAGAGAAAGAGTTCTGTCGCGCTCCTCTTGCTCTCGTCGCCCCAGCTCCTCCCATGCTCGTCGTGCCTCCTCCTTGGATATGGAAAGCTCCTTTCGCATTTCGGTGAGCTGCTTCTGGGCCTTTGAGGTTCCCCGTTCGTTCTCGACAGCCTCTCGGATGGCGTCGGCTCGGCCGCGTCTCTCCTGTTCCAAGGCAGCCTCTAGGAGGGCGTTAACTTCTTGTGCGCGCTCCAAATCAGCTCGTGTCTCAAAGAACCAACGCTGGAACTTGCGCTCCGAACTCGCCCGGAGACGCTGCAGCTCAACAACAGCATGGAAGAGGTTTGCGCCAGCGGCAGATAGATCAGTCACCTGGCGGGCGAGCTGCTGGTTAAGAGGGTCACGGTTCAAGTCGTCCTTGTTCTGCTCAAGTTTTCGGATCCAATAACTAGTGAGACCCTCCCAATGAGCAGACAATGTTTCCCAACGCTCAAAGGCGTGAGGGAACGAATTGCGCGGTTTTGAGCCGCTGGCACCGCCGGCAGCTGTCTGGGCTCCGCCGTCGGCACCTGGTGCGGCAAAGACAGGCTGTTGTGTGGTTGCTGGGCCTGTGTAGGTCTGAGTAGGCACCTGGGCGGCGGAAGCTGAGCGCCCATGTCGTGCTGCGGTTGGTATTTGGGAAGTAGTAGTAGATGCCCTTGCTCGGGCTGTGTTTTCGGGGGCGACTTGCGCCTGTCGCTGAGGGTTGACCTGCTCACGCGCTTCTGCGCCACTAGCCTGCCCAGCAGCAACGCCAGCAGTTCTACGCTGCTCTTCTGCTCTCCGTGCCTGCTCCAGGATGCGCGCTTCTTGTTCAGCCCTCTCGCGCTGCTGCTGCTCTGCTTCAGCACGTTGTCGCGCCTCCCTGGCAGCACGCTCCTGCATGATCATCCTCGGGCCTCTGATGCCAGAGGGCGAGCTCGTCTGACCAGGACCGGCAGTGGGACGGAAAGAAGCGGCAGGCTTGCCATTGGATGTAGGAGGCACACCTCCAGCAACCATTAGGTCGGCCATGCTTGCGGATTCCTCTTCAAGATCTGGGGTGAAGGGATTGGGGTTGCGCAGCGCCTCCTCGAGGGCAAAGAGGATGGCGCTGTGGGTGTGCTTGGAGATGCGGACCACGGGGTGTGGGTCGGGGCGGTCTGCAGTTACAGAAGGAGTCTTTTGTCTCGGGGGGGATTGAGGATGTTCTGAAGACACCTCGTCGGGATCTTCGGTCAGATCCTGCGAGAGCCGTCGCCGGCGACGGGGAGCTTGTTGGGGCACCGAGTGGAGCGGGATGAGACCCAACACAGTTGGGTGATTCTCAGGCAAGTCGTTGACGGCCGCGAGGGTCGCCTTGGGCGCGAAGCCAATCGAGGCGGCCGCGAGATGGACTTTGCGAGACTCAGGGGCAGGGCTCGGAGGTGCCTCGAATTTGGGAGTTCGGCGAAGGCTTCGTTGTTGCGAGGACGGCGTAGAACGTCGCTCGACGGGGTCCGGAGTCTGGATTAGCAGCGGTCTGGAGACGTTGGACTGCCGGCGTTGCTGTTGCTGGGTAGGGGTCGTGGGCGCGTTAAGGTCGTGGCGGTCGTTATTTGCAGACGAGGGGCGTATTCTCGACACGTCTGCGGCGCTGGAAGGACGAGGTTTTGGAGTGTGCGAGGAGAGCGAGTTGTTCGACAAGGCGAAGGTTTCACCAGCGGGCGCTGGTGGTTGCGGTGGAGGATTGGACCAGGCGATTTGATGAGGTGTGGTGATGGTGGTGTGGGGGAGGTCCTTGATGCGTTGTTACTGCAACTGCAGTTGGGCCTGACTAGAGAAAGACGAACGATGTGAGGCCGACGTTGAGAGATTGGTCTCGGGATGACGACCCAAAGTCTCAGGTTAGTTCGGCTCTACTCGAGACAAGCCAAAAGGTTGAATGGCCTGACTGGAATGTGTTTGGTTTTAGAGAGTAGAAAAGGAAGGGCATCAACCGATGAAAGCTGGGATCTGATGGAGGGTCCCCTGGTGATGTCAAAAAAAGTTGGTGGCCGGGAGCCCAAAAAAATTGGGGAGGTTGGTGGTGCTGCTGGTGCTGCTGTGGTGCTCGCCCGCTGGTCGTGTCGGGTGCCAGTAAAGTGGTCGCCAACGCCAGGCCAGGCCCAGTTGTAGAGGGCTGCGTCCAGTGAGAGACCTCCCTCGTAAAGAGCCAGTAGCGGACAGAGGCTAGACAATCTGCAAGCACTCAGACCACGCACACGCACACGCGCACACGACGCGAGATGCGAAACTCCCAGCCAGCAAGAGAGACAGAGATGGCTGATCAATTGGTCAATCGGCCAATTGCTTCATTCGATAGCCCCGTTTCGTTTGTAAAGGCGCAGCGCAGTCTAGCGTAGCGACACTCTATGCGCGCAATCGCTTCAGCTGAGATCGGACCTGCCACCAGGCCGCCTGTTCGCAGGCTTTTTCCTGCGCGCAAAGCCTTGAATCGCAAGTTAGGAGACGACGTCTGGCTGATTCGCTGTGACAAGAGGTCCTTTGCGACGCGAAGCTGTGCAAAGGGCTGCCCTCTCGGATAGGCTCCGTCTTCGATCCGAATTGTCACCGGCCAGGGCGCGTCGCGAATCCGTTATGCGCAACTCGTCGAGCTGCAGAGCGAGGTAATCAAGCGGCTGGGAACGATGGGAACGCACAAAGCAAACATGCTCGCAGCCCAATGGCGAACCTGTGACTCTGAGTATCCACGCCTGCGTCGAGATATCACCATCACAGTCGACAACAGGTCATGGTAAGGTATGAATGCGTTGGGAGAGAGAAGATAGGTTGAGGTTTAGGTGGAGGAGAGAGAAGGGGGCACAACACAACACACTTGCGACCTGGCGTAGAACTGGAGCTGGAGTGCTCCTCCCTCGGCCGGCCCTACCTCTCTGATGACTTAATTACGCCAGGTTTTCAAGGGAGTCGATCAAGGCACACACAAGGAAGCCCAAGTAAGGTAGCTACCTAAGGTAGCAAAGCAAGCTCTGGCCGCTTTGACCGGGGGGATGATGGAGCCATGGGGCGGCCATTAGCTACAGTAGCTAGCTGCCCGGGTCCCAAGCTTTCTCTCGCCAGCAGCCCTGCTGATGAATTAGCTTTGGGCCAAGCCCTCGAGTCTCTTCGCCCTGCTGGGTCAGTCAGTCATGACCAAGGTGATGGCATGAACTAAGGCTATGGATGCGTTGTCCATCTCTTTAAGCGCATGCGCGTGGTCGATTTGATCCGCCTTCCCCCCTCTCCCTTTCCCCGATACAATGCTTCCTTTGTGAGCAGCGTCGATGCGATGCGCTGATCCGTCTTGAAACAAGTGCAACAAAGACGGCACGGCCAAAGGTCGAAAATTCGGCTTGGATGCTTTTGCCGAAACTCTCTAATTTACCATCGTCGGGCCTTGTCTCGGGAGGGACATCTGGCGTCTAACCCGGCCACCCGTCTCCTCAATGGCGCCGGCATTTGCTGTGTGGGCGCCTCGAGCTTGAAGCTGAGGAAGCAAGCTCTGTGAGCTCGGAGCTGAGAGAAGCTGGTGCTGTTGGCAGGCAAATTGAGCTGCCCTAGGCTGTCCATCTCATCTCATCTCATACACAGGCGCAAGGACTGAAACTCTCTCCTCTCTTCTCAGCTCTGACCTCGGTCCTCAACCTTCATCACACGACTGCGCGCGTGGGCAGATTGCGGACCTGGGTCTCCTTCCATGTCGAGACGCCGCGTCGCAGGATGTTTGGGAGCTTCGACCACATTTCACACGCGCCGAAGCTGCGCATAGGCCATCTTTGGCCGGTTTCTTCATCTCAATCGCCCCTGAGGGCAGGGTTGAGGGTGCAAGTTGACCGTGGTACGTACGATGGCCCAGCGCTGGGGAATCCACGCCTGAAAAGACGAGGCGGCCAGTCCCATTGGCAGAGAAAAGCCAGGGCAGGGCGGGTTGAGGGGGAAAGCGAGACACGGTACAAAGACATGAGTTTATCATCCTTTACAATAGACATTAATGAGGAACAATGAAATGGTAAATAACAGCTTTCTCGAGCAATGACATTTATGAGAATATCTCTTTACTATTTTAGTATGTCTTCTCTAAATTTACTGGTGACATTCGAGTCAGTTAGACATGCTCTGCCGTCCCTGTGCCTCGTTTTTTCTCAACCCCCGTCGCGGGGACGTGATGACCTCCATCCCAGATGAACCATCTTGCTGCTAACGGCGCTAGAGCTTCTCTTCGCTCGTCACCACCGCTGTCCCCCCGGTCCCGGATCTGATCCCCAGCCCTGGCCATCGCCCAGCCCCCCCTCGTCTGGTCTTCTTCTTCCCCCTAAAAAGGGCTTCCATGCCCCACAGCACCGAGAAACCGGTTGACTTGAGCGAATTGGGGAGTGAGACGGGGCCGAGTACGACGCTGAGTCGTGGTTTTGGCGGGAAGAGGACCCGTCCGGAACCGCGTCGGTTATGGTTGTCTGACACTTACTTCCCGTTCAAGGACGAGGTCTTGGACTCGAGCGTCAATGCCACCGACGAATCTCCATGTCCCAATTGCTTTGTCTTGTCGTTGCTGGATCGTCCAGCTTGAGCTTGACAATATCCCAAAGACGAAAAAGCAAGCCACACACACCAACTTTAATAGCTTGGAGGGGGCGGGAGCCACGGCACGCCCCGTCATCGGGTCCCCCAATCAACGGCGCCGTTTCCCATCTCCATCTCGTCCTAGGCCAGTAAGCTCGTGGCCCAAGTTTCGGGTCGCGCAACCACCAAATGTCAGGTCGCGTCTCTGGAAGCATCGACTCTCAGGCGATATTCTAGACGCCCATTATCCATGCCCTTGTCATGCGTACTCGTTTTTTTTTTTTTTTTCTCATGTCCCTGGCAGCCGCCCCGCGGGTATCTCGCATAATGCTGGGGGTGACCCTTGATCCTTTGAACATCGTCGATATTGCACATTTCCGGTCCTGGCAAGACGCGGTTTGAAGACAGGGCTCTCGCGGGTCAAATCTTAGCTACGAGGCGGAAGCTGGAGGACTTCCCCTGTGGCTGATTTACGGATACTGTGAGGTGTTTCGGACGCGAGAGAAGCGAATAAAACACGGGGCCATCCCGGTGAGCAGTTTGTCGCGGGAGCACGTGCCGCTGCTCGCGGGACATCCAATGCTTTTGTCAGGCCAGCACGGTTAAATGTTAATGTGGTTATGCTAAATCCCTATAGTTACTAAGTTATGCGAATTGCATGTTTCATGTTTTGAAGCATGGTACTATCGAGTTTGCCTCTTGTACAAACCTTTGTCTTTGCAAACTGTCTAACTCAATAAGCATGCTACTTGGGTCCAAGTAAGGCTGTGCAATAAATGGATGCTGTCTCCTTTAGAACTATTTCAATATCGATCGGTCGTCATCTGCCCCTTGATATGTTGAATACTCCACGGATGGCAGGATTACTTTGAATTTCTAAAGATGAGTGTGTTGTGGCTAAGATACTGTGCCTGAAGGTCATGGATCGGTTGAGGCACCATGGGATCGACCAAAAGTCTGCTCTACATATGAACATAAGCTGACGGGCTGAGATCAATTCTAAAATGATGCCAATTAACCTACGAGAACCCCAAATTTTCACGTACAGGTTCAAAATACCATCCGCAATCATTTCATCGAGTGCGTGGTGTTGCGCCGTAGGGTAGCGCACGCCTTCTAAACGCCTTGTAAAGATCGCGAGACACACTGAGACTTTGAGCGCTGGTGCAATACAAAACTGGCGAGTTACAATGGTTGAAATCACTGTTTGAAAACTACAGGGAGAGCGCCTTGGACCGTAGTTTAGTGTTCTAGTCACACCATGGCTATCCTCCCTGGCAAATGTCTCCTAGTAGAGAGAGGCCAAGGGTGGACAAGATGCTCCGGCAGAGACGGCTGGCCGTAAGCTACTACATTCGGCACATTGATAGGCACCTCTAAGATGGTCGCCTACTGGCGATCAGCGGGAGGGCCATAGCGCAAACCGTTTGTGTGCAACGTGGCAGGGAGATGGTCGAGATCGCCGCACCCTGAAAGTCCCCTAGTCCCCTAGTATTGGCATCCGAGAGGCCTCGTCGAGACAAGATTTCGATAGGGTCTTGTACTATACGGCAAATCTGACTAGAGGCACGTACTAGACCACGAGGAAATACCACAAAAGGGACTGGACGCCCAAAATCAAGCCTCAGGGCTAACCCTCAAGATCTCGACCCGGCAACATGCCCTCTTCCCCGCGATGGATGGATATGATGGCTACACACGCACGATGCCAGCACGCTTCAACCGCAGCTGGGTCGCAGACAAGATGCCGATCATGAAACGGCCGTGTGCCAGTTACCTGATCCCAACTATGTGATACGCTATACACGATGCGCAGCTAGATAGCCACAAACTGCCTCCGTGGAGCGCCATCGTCATTCCGCTTCTCAACTGTCACACAGAGGCTTTGACGTCAAGACTGATACCCCGCCTGTGGTGCAAGGGCAGGACGAGGCTCCCACGATCGCCGATGAGGGATCCGCGGGAAGCTTGTGATTGACCTGCCAAGTGCTGCATGCCCCTGGCCCTGGCATCAAAGTTGAAGACCTCTCACAGATCTTCGAGACACGCAGAGCCCAAAACGTTGAGGCGAGGGGTCCGGAACTGCCCAGAACGGTCCAAGGTCTCCAAGCCTGCTTCCGACCGGCTGAGCAAGGGACTCGACGCCTCATCGGCAGACGCACGGAGCTCAGATTTGTGGTGTAAACAGTCGGATGCGGGGAAACCCAAGGTCCAATACTATCCATCCATGTCGAGGGAGAAGAGGAAGCTGTTGAGAGATGGGTGGTACCCTGCGTCTTGCGTTAGCCTGGGAACTAGCAACATAGATCTGCCAGTTGATGCGAAGTTATGTGGCTGACAGTTGACAAGCTCAACTTGAGATCCGATCCAAGTTAGGGATGATGAATGGTCAGATCCGTCCGGCACTTGTCATATTTTTGCATATTCGTTGGTCAAGCCGACAGGAGAGGGACACGCAGGGCGATGCTACCCTACCTCTTTGAGCCAAGCTTGCAGCTGCCGTCAAGTGCTCGGACCTCTCCTTGCCTATCGTGAGCTGCCAACTCTCCTCCTACAACCACATACCTCGCCAAACACTCACCGAAACATTGCTTTCCCTTTTCTGAATACCATGATGCTTACAATGCGAGCCTCTTTTCCGCGTCCAGAGTCGTGCGGAGTCGCCGGCTAATTGGGACCCAGAGAAATCGAACGTTTTCTCTTACCCACCAAGAGCGTTGCCGCGGAAAAAAGTCCACAATGTTTACCTGCTCAGCGCCTTGCACATGCAGTCCATGCTATCAAAGACAGTGTCTCACGCCTCCACCCAGAGGCCACGCAGTTCTTCTGTCTCGAGGTTGCGCCAAGCAGGGAGGATATCTTGACACTCGAGGTAGTCGGCAGCTGCCCGTGGCCAAGCTGGCCAGGGTGGGCATTGAAGCTGGGGCCCAATGCCTTGCTCAGAATCCGGCCGACCGAGCATCTTCAGCTTTCGAGAGGGACCGATTGTATCCCCGCCCGTGTTCACCATCGGCCGTGACGGCATTGACGACATGGCACGGCGGCAGCCCGTGCGAGCAACTCGTCTCGGGGAGACCACGGTCCCTGCCACCAACAGGACCAACTGGAGAG